GCTAGATAAAAGAGGTGAAATTGGGAAAATTTTGGAGAGGCCTTTTTTAGGGTCTCTTGCTACCACATTCTAACGAACAGGTTATTCCTCCAGCGTTACATGTGAATGAATATGGAACATGTCAGCTGGAGTTACTCGCCTAGGCCTACTCATATAAATGTTGGAAAAAAATCACGCAAAATACTTGCCAAAATACCTTTCAAATCATTTACTGGCTTCCACACGTATCAAAGACGAAGTAATGGGGCTTCAATGATACTCACAATTGTTTTTGTGGTTGAAAATCTATGAAATTTAACCAGCATCGAGCATATCACAGGTATATTCGGCACGTTGTGCACGTTTAGCCTATACCGAGTTTAATACTGACCTACATGTACCTGAATTTCATGACTGAGAAAACTGTTATTAAGAAGCACGTGGAATGTAAAAATAAAAAGTCCTACATGTGGTATAAACAATCTTGCTTTAGATTACTTACTTTGTTGTGAAGGCGCTGAGAGGATGTGTTTGATATGACAAGATAATTATCAGACATCGCATCACAACCGAACAATCCACTTTCACAATTTAATTTACCGTGCTTCTCGCATGCATATATGTGCAACGTCGTCTCAGCTGGTTCTCCAACAGTACATTTGTATGGCGGGTACCGGGTAGAGCACTCAATTACATCGCGATGGCGATGAGTGTGTGTGGGAACCATCGCAGCTAGCTGGTACGCGGTGACACGACGCGAGCGCGGGACCATTTTTCTAGTACATTCGACACTGACTTAAAAATACTACGATGCTGATGAGTTGAACGGCCGTCTTGTTAAATTTTGGCGTCTTGAGGATTTGGAGCTTTGAAACAAGATGGCCGTTCAAATTGTGAAATAAATGATTCTGTGTCTTATGTCGATATCAACGTTTTTGGAACGTTATCAGAATGTTACAGTAAAACGTTACATTTAGACGTCCGTAAAACAATATTCAGACGTTGTTGATAACATTGTTTGAATGGTACAAAGCAACATTTTTTTCTAACGTCTGCATAACGTTCAGGCGACGTTTTTAAATAACGTGTTCCAATTGTTACGATGTAATGTTTCTTTCAAACGTCCGCATAACGTTCAGCTGACGTTTTTACAGAACGTGTCACAAATGTTACAATGTAATGTTTCTTTCTTAAGTCGTTATAACGTTCAGATGACGTTTTTAGAGAACGTGTTACAATTGCTATAATAAAACGTTTCTTTCAAACGTCTGCATAACGTTCAAATGACGTTTTAGAGAACGTGTTACAATTGTTACAATGAAACGTTTCCCTCAAACGTCTGCATAACGTTCAGCGGACGTTGTTACAGAACGTGTTACAATTGTTACAATGTAACGTTTCTTTCAAACGTCTGCGTAACGTTTAGGGGACGTTTTTACAGAACGTTACCGAAGGTAACTTTCCAGGAACGTTATGAAAACGTTATGTGTTAGCTGGGATGTGCACATTCTTATGGAGCCAGTGGTACACTGGTACACTGAGCACCATAGGAAAGCAATTCAATTCAATTCAATTCATTTATTTCTTGTCACACATATATATAAATATACAGTGAAAGGCTCTGTGATTTTTGCTTGCCCAAAACATTAAAAATACATTCGAAACTACACAAAAACATCACCTGTACACAGTTACAATAACAAAGACAATAAGAACTAACAAAAATATACATAATATTTATATCATTTATTCTAAAACAGTATGGCCTAAATACAATTGAAGCTAAAGTAAAATAATACGATTACTTACAGACGGCAGTAAAACTTAACTAACTGTAGTATATATGCGATAATATTACACCTGGAAACTGCAATCATGTACACACTTATTGTGAAGTGTCATCATTAAGAATGCGAACAGCTGTTGGGTAAAACCTGATCAATGTGCGATTTGAACCAGATTTAATTGATCGATAACGGTTCTGTCATCGCATTGGCAGGAACAAGTCGTGTGCTGGACAAAAAAATTGTCGTGAACAATGGAATGAGCCCTTTTCTTAACTCGAGAGTGGTACAAATCATCAAGTGATGGGAGTTGACATCCAATGATTTTACTGGCAGGACAAACGATCCGACTGATGCGCTTCCGGTCATCAGCTATGGCATTGCCTTACCAAACGATTATTGACTGTGTTAAGACACTTTCAATCACCGCCCGGGAGAACTTCAACAGCAGTCTTTAATTGACATGGAAGCTTCTCATCCGTCTCAAGAAAAACAAAAATTGCTGCGCTTTTTCTAATAATGGAATCGGTATTCAATCCCCATGTCAAGTTCGATGATAAACGAACACCAAGGAATTTAAAATATTGTACTCTTTCAACTTCCGAGCCATTGATGACTAAGGGAGCAACAGCAGGTGGATTCTTCCGGAAAGTCTACAATAATTTCCTTTGTTTTGCTAACATTCAATTTTAAATTGTTCTCAGAGCACCAGTTTACAATAGATTGCACTTCATAACGATACGATGTCTCATCGTTTTCAATTAATCCACCCACAGTCGGGTCATCCGCATATTTTACATTAAAATTGTCAGCTGAAGTACTGCCACAATCATGGGTAAATAATGAGTACAGCAAAGGAGATGAAATGCAACCTTGAGGCGTGCCGGTATTTAAAACCAAAGGTTTAGAATGATGATTACCGACTCAGACAATCTGGGAACGATCCGATAAAATGTCTAAAACCCATTTTCAAACACTGACATTCAACCCTAACGAAATCAACTTGTCGTGTAATTTAAAAGGCGAAATCGTGTTGAAGGCGGAGCTGTAATCAATAAGTAAACGTCTTGCATAGTTAGGCATTTTCTGATCCAAAAAATGTGTCGCATTAAATAATGCAAGAGAAACTGCATCCTCGCACATGCTGAACTTTGTATCCTTGTGGAGACATTTCTTTGTTCTCGTGTACTAAAGTTTTCGAGTTTGAAAGTACAGTTTCAAAACGCTCTTATTTTAACCAGAATTAATTTCCTTGGCTGAAATTCAGACTTAATATCCCTTTTCTAAAACTCTACCATTTGCGACGGAACAACATACGTTGGAAATGGTACAGTTTTGGAGTAAAATCAATATATCTTTTTCGTGAAAACCTTTTGGAGACGTATTCATCTAAAGAAATTGCCATATGGAGACGTATACAATCGTTTGTTCCCTATTGTGTGCATGTCTCCAGAAGGGCACGGTGTATCAAATCAAGCTCGCCTAGGTTCCATTGTCGCAGCAAAAGATCCTGAAGCAGCCAAAGAACAGGCAAACCGCTGACAACAATGATTGATCTTACTTGAACATTAAATATAGGGCATTCCACCTAGGTAGGATGGTAATTTGGAATGGGCATACATGTATTAGGTCAGGGACAAAGACATTTTAAACGCTTGTGGACAAATAGTCAGACTTTAATTTAAAGGTGAGCTTTAGAATAAGAATTAGAAAGGGAAGTCCCCGGGCCAACCCCAATATAAGGGCCAAGTTTGACACCTATTAGGGTGGAGATGATCTTCCCAGACCAAGGGTCTTCCCAAGACCTCCCTAGTCAGAACGACCTCAAGGCTTTGAGGGTGCAGGTCAGTTTGGATGGTAATATACCGCCAATTGTGAATAATTATGAATGATAATTAATGAACCTGTTAATTGCACAATAAACTGCAAAGACACACACCTGATGCGGAATTGTCGGTTACCTCCAGCAAACAATGATAATGTATTCAACAATAATCAATAGATGTACAGCTAATTAGAATTAATTTGCATCGTTATTTTATTATCAACAACGCGCACGGCATCAGCAATGCACCACAACATAAGTAATGCACCGCAATATACTACTGAGTCAGCAAATAGCCAGAAAGTATCACTGTGTTCAGCAACGCTCAACGCGTAAGCGATGTACACAACACGTTGAGCTTTGTGCTCGATTACGCTTCACCATGCAAGCTATTGCGTCAGCATCGTACAGTACATTTACTTTTTACAGCTGTGCAGCAGCATGGAAACAATGTTAATTTAGTACAGTCACGTCTTGAACCCACAGCGTGTAAGCATTGCTCAAAACACAGAGTGCAAGAAATAAATACTTAACGCTGTCCACAACTCAACTCCCCGAGCGTCACGTGTGTAGCCCTACGCGCATACATGCACTTTATCATGTACCTTATGCGCCTTTGGTAAACAAATCGCGTGTTTGGTAAACAAAGCGCATTTACTAATTGCATGCACGGATTGCTAAGCCACGTCCACTCACGGGCGTACGGTTCATTCAGAACATTAGAATACAATAACATGTACATGTACATACGAACTACAATTTCCGTTACAAAGGGTCGATCATGATGGAATATGTCCCCGTACATTATTTAACTGTTGGTGTTTCTCTTTATTTACACGACAACAGAGATTGTGTTAGGTTAAGGACATATTACATATTCGCCAATATCATTGTTCAATAATATAAACTAACATGGAAAAACTGTGCAATTAAAATTAAATGAAATTGAGCTCTCAAAGTTTCGTTTTGATAGTTAGGCCGCTCAGCACTATGCTATGGAAATGACTAAGATAAAAACCAGCCATAAATTGTTGCGCGACCACCTCCGGTAGTATCCAAATAGTCAACAAGCGTAGCCAACCATCGTCGACTAGACAGAGTTCGGGAATCATTAAGTCGAACTATGGTTAACCATTGGTCAACACTAGTTTTTTTGCGCGAACTTGTCCTATGAAGACACCATTGATCTCCATTAGACTAGCATACAAATATTGAGTGTCTCAGAGTAGAATGGGAGGAATACTATCGCAAGTTAATGTCTGACCTTTTCCATTTCACGAGGCGAAGCCTCGTGATATGGAAAGTCCAGATTTTACCGAGCGATAATATTCCTCCCATTTCAAAATTTAAAGCCACTTAATATTTGTTTTATTTGACTGACATAACAGATCTTTGTCATTTGATATATTTGAAATTTGATTTCAATGCAAAATATTCTTGAAAAAAACAACATATTTCTCTCTTCCGAAACATCCCTTTGCGAAAATGTTTGAACCCAACGCTGGAGCGCTGGCTCTTTGTAACAATACGTGCTACGCGTAGAAGAATGGGACTTTTTGAGCCCCGGCGTGGTAGGGAGCAATAACGAGTGTCAGATATGTGAGTTCCACCAAACAAATGACAATGATCTGTGTGTCGGTCATATATTAAGTATCATTAATGGAGATCAATAGATGACACCTTCCTGTACAAGGCCGCAGCCATTTTGTTTTTACATGGACATCCATTTTATAATCAGCGGAAGATTGCCGTAAATGAACAAAACCGCCGCAATCACGAAGAAGAAGCGATCCAGCACCGCTGCAACCAGCTTCATGTCTTCTGAGTCCTGTCGAAAAGTAATGGTATAAGCACTATATAACCGTCACTACAGTATTTCCCCAAAGGTGTAGTTTCAATATGTTTTTTAATTAACAACAAAACCGCGAAGCAAATTATTATATTGAACATCTTTAATTATGTAGATACTCATAAACATTGGCCTTAGCTCATGTGAGTGTTATTTAATTTCCCTGATGCCTCACCGCACATTGGTCAATTGATCACAACATTTCTGGGCACTAGTGACAAACTTGCTTGCCTTTACAAATGAGAGTGTTTTATGTACGCAGTGTATGACAATTCATGTTGTGAAAAAGAGGTGCGGTTGGCGATTGGAATCATTTGCCCTTACCAGTCATTATGGCAAGACCTTGGTCTGATGATCAAGCGCAAAAGATTTCAATATTCAAACTGCAGCCCTCTTTCATGATAATATGGAGTATTTTATACAGCTCACTACGTGTAAAAGCACTGAAGTTAAATAAGGAATTAGTATGCTTGAAGAAAAATAAACTCACATTTTCGTCTTTGATGGCTTTGGAGCAACTCTGGGGGTCTTCACGTGATTTCAATTCGGCAACCTTATCGGAAAATCTATCCTCTGTGCTTGTCGAGACACTCTGAGCCGCGTCTTCGTCCACCGTGTGAGTGCACTTGGCGTCCGTCGGAGTTTGCGAGTCGCTCATGTCAACTTTCCCCTTCCTGGTACCTGCTCTCGTCACGCAGACAACCACGGGCAGAATGCGGAGGAACACCATTCGAAGCACGCGCCCGCGTAGCGGCCCAGGCCGGTGGTGCACTCTGACGGTGACCACGCTGAGCAGGATTGCCAGGCCAGCCACGAGGAAGTTACACTCGATGCTGCTCAGTAGGATTGGCGTGCCTTGGCCGCCCGTGATCGGCAGAGACTCGATCACGACCAGCCAAAAGACGGCCTGGCCAAGCAATATGGACACGGCCATAGACACCTGAACAATAAAACAATCAGGCCGTATTAATATCAGAAATACAGATTACTCTAAGCTTAATTGCACGATGGGGTAACATTTGCATGCAGGGAATTTATATTCAGTAATCAGTTCTAAATTTAAATACATTGATCAGAGCGAATGAAAACCGGGTCACGGCTGCTGAAATGTGGATTTGGAGAAGAATGCTAAGCACCCGGGTAGGTGGAGCTCTTTAGCTTTGATTGACAGTTCACCTAGGAGAAGGACAACTTAGACCACAAACCTGGGTAGGTAGAACTCGTTAGCTTAGGTTGGCACTCTGAATAGGAGAAGGACAACTCTGATCACAAAACTGGGAAGGGAGAACAATGTTAGCCATGTTCGGTAATCTACTATTCTGTTCACATCTGTTCACTAAGGCCTCACTTGTGGCTCCCCATAGCTGTTAGCATGCGACAGGGGCCACTTCTCGGACAACGGCTTTGATGGCTTTAGTCCAGGCAAAATACTTCATTTTTGAGTGAACCTCAAACAAATTGCAACAGATTTTTTTTCACCACAGTGCATTTTTATAAGGTCCCTAAAATGACATACTAAAAGTCAAAAAAAAATCCAAGTGGTGGAAATATGCCTAATTTGCAGAAACCCAAAATGGCCGAAAATTGTAGGACTTTCACATTGATTTGGTCATAATTCTCATACTCGATAGCTTTTTGAGGTACTTAAAACGACAATTTTGGTCCGTTTACATTGATTTCATCATAATTCTAGTCCTAGGTAACTTTCAAGATCCCCATGTTTCCCAAATTTTCCATATGCCGTATATTAGTTTGCATAAATGCCATATATTAATTTGCATAAATTAAAGTTAAAATTATGGCTGCCATGTGTGGACATGTCACAATTCAATTTTCCCTGATAATCCAAGTTCAGTTATTTATACATAAAAATCACGGTGCATTTCTATAAGGCCCCTAAAATAGTCCCAGCAAATCCAAGTGGTGGAAATATACCTAATTTGCATAAATTCAAAATGACCACTTAAAAACATGATTTTCATATTGATTTTGCCATAATTCTCGTCCTACATTGCTTTTTGGGTTGCTTTAAAGGGAATATACAACATTTGCAAACATCAAAAAACGAAATGATCACATTATCACGAAATATCTTACTGGATTGTTAGGGAATGACAGTCAATTAAAAGCATCCTGTAAATCGTAGCTCCTGGTGTGCTGACATTTTCAAGATTTTTTTTTTCCAACGCTGGTCGGCTTACCAGCGTTTGAGAAAACTGGCTTTTTTTTTCAAAAACTGCTCTGAATTTTTTCCAATTTCTATTTCCAACGTCTATACATTGCTCTGATTCATCGTAAGTGGGGTCAGGGCAGGGGGCGGATCCAGACTGCCATTTGCCGGGGGGGCTAGAATTGTAATGGAGGGTCGAGGACAAGCAAGCGGATCGCGAAGCCCTTAAGGCGTGGGGTCCGGGCCCGCTTAAGGGCCCGGGGGGGGGGGAATGGATTGTAGATGCTCTGTGGTGCAATCTGAGGCGATTTCTGGCCGCTTTCCACCGTTATGAAAACGTTTTAAACATCGAAAATTCCTTTTAATTTGTAATTTGTTTGTTCTTTATAAAGTTTGTTATGTACTCAAAGTTGAGAACCATTTTCCATCTCCGTATTTTTTTTACAACTTTTTATTTTGGAAAGGGATTTAGGCCACTTGTAGTCCGAGCCTCAGCCATTTGCTGAAGGTACTTTAAGGTGGGGCACCGCTCGGGTGAAATTATAACATAGAGGAAATTTGGCTGGAGGACTAATGCGAGCTCGGAGCTCGAAGCCCTTACGGCGTGGGTCCGGGGCCAGCTTAAGGGCCCTGGGAAATTTTCGATCGTAGATGCTCTATGGTGCAATCTGAGGAGTTTCCTGGCCACTTTCCCTAGATTTTTGCTCTTATGAAGTTTCTTCTGTATTCAAAGCCTAAAGTTGAGAACATGCACATTATTTGTTATTGTTCCGCGCTCGGTTACATAACTGATATGAATTTTAATATTTCATTACAAAGGATCCATATTTGTGGAGTGTGACAAACTGGCATGGAACGTATCCGAAAAATATTTTAATAGAATCTGAATTGGCCATTGTTTGATTTTGTTTAGTCACCAAGCCGGGGCGTGAAAACGGTTTGACCTTCATACGCATTGTACGCAACAGTTGTCCGCGTGCAGTCCATAGAGCTATATTAGGAGGTGCGTGAAAATTGCCACGCCTTTTGAACGATTGTTCTTCCTCAAACTCAAAACGTGTGGCCCGTCGGATCGATCACCGTCTGTTTTCCACCGATATTATACATTTTAAAATATTTGCCGTGCGCGTGCGCCCCCCTGCGGCCCCCCCCCCCCCCCGATCTGCCAATGGGGTCAGGAAACCAGACTACAAGAACATGATTGATTTTCTTGGTTTTTCCAGCATCTACCAGCCCAAAACGTGAAACAAGTCAGTTCAACAAAATTTCTATAACATACTAATCCTCCAAATCCATATATTTCTTAAATCTGAAACAACAGCAAATGTTGTATATTAAAGCAACAATTTGTCTTTTTACATGATTTCCCCATAATTTGCCAAATGCCGTATAATAATTTGCATAATTTCAAATAAAGTAAAGTAAAGTTACAATTATGGCACACTGACTGTGACCCATGTTGGGACTTAGGCCATGACAAATGGGTCGCGGGGGAAACTTTTCCACAAGTTTCGAACTTTTATGAGTCTGATCTGTATATTGGAGAAGAGGCGAAAGATACGAATTGAGTAATCTTCATTATTCAAGTGGTTCTCGCTAAACTCAAAAATACAAACTACGGAATAGTAAATGAAATGAAACTGTAGCTTAACTTCTATTATTATCATATATGATTACAAGTAAACAAATTGCCTCCAGCAGATGGGGGTTGGCAGGTCATTGATGGCAAATCTTCCCATACAAATGGACAAACCGCCTGCACCACCATCACTACTTGAGGTCATCCGATGTGGGTGTAAGAAAGACTTGTGCTAATAGAGACTGCACGTGCCGAAAGTATGGCCTCTCTTGTTCAACTGCTTGCACTGAATGCCGTGGCACTAGTTGTGCCAACTCGCCTACAACCAGACATTGATCCTAATGCTGCTGAAGATTAATTAGTCTGCCACATAAGTGTTCATTCTAAGATACAAAGATGTACGTGTAGATGATAACAACCAGACTAACATTGCATGCAAGCCAATATGGATGAAAGGTCGCCAATAGGGATCTTTGTGATATTTCTGTATTCATAACTGAACTTGGATTATAAGAGAAAGTACAATTGTTTTCTCCCTTCACAGTAATCATATATGATAAGAAGTTAAGCTACAGTTTCATTTCATTTACATTTCCGTATTTTGTATTTTGGAGTTGCATAATCAAAACTGATGTTAATGATTTAGCGAGAACCACTTAAATAAGTGCGACTTGAACTATAATTGTGTTTTTATTTAATTGACTTGCTATTTGTTAATTGTTTAGCATTAGTATTTAACTTTATCATTCTGTTCTTGGATGAAAACTACTCAATATGTATCTTTCGCCTCTTAAATCAGACTCAATTAAAGTGCAAAACCTGATGAATAGTTACTTTCGCGACCAATTTTTCATGGCGTAAGTCCCAACACAGATCCTAATTGTGCTGTAACTTCAACTTTACTTTATTTGAATTTATGCAAATTTGCATAAGGCATTTATGCAAATTATTATACAGCATTTGGCAATTTTGGGAAACAAAGGAACCTCGGAAGGTACCCAGGACTAGAATAATGATGAAATCGATGTAAAAGGACACATTTTTGTTTAAAGTGCCCCAAAAGTAAAGTAGGACGAGAATTATGGCCAAACCAGTATGAAAATCATATAATTAGTGGACATTTTGAATTTATGCAAATAAGACATATTTTCAGCACTTGGATTTTATTTTTACTTTTTTTCGGGACACATAGAGATGCTCTGTTGTGTGATACATAACTGAACTAGAAGTTATTAGAGAACATTCAATTGTGACATGTCCACACATGGCAGCCATAATTTTAACTTTAATTTATGCAAATTAATATACGGCATTTATGCCAATTATTATACGGCATTTAGCAAATTTGGGAAATATAGAGATCTCGAAAGATACCCAGAAATCAATGTGAAAGGACAAATTGTTGTTTAAAATACCCCAAAAAGCAATGTAGGACGAGAGTAATGGCCAAATTAATATGAAAATCATATAATTAGTGGCTATTTTTAATTTATGCAAATTAAGCATATTTCCACCACTTGGATTTTTTCTTTTTTTTTTTTTTTTTTTTCGGGACCATAAAGAGACCTCCGTGGTGTGATATTTATGTACATACATAAATGAACTAGAAGTTATTAGGAAAAATTCAATTGTGATGTCAACACATGACAGCCATAATTTTAACTTTACTTTATGCAAATTAATATATGGCATTTATGCAAATTATTACACCGCATTTGGCAAATTTGGGAAACATAGGGATCTTGAAATTTACCTAGGACTAGAATAATGATGAAATCAATGTAAAAGGACTAAAATTGTTGTTTGAAGTTCCTCAAGAAGCTATCTTCATGTAGTATGAGAAATATGGCCAAATCAATGTCCTAAAATATGCGGCCATTTTGGATTTATGCAAATTAGGCATATTTATGGAATTTTTTGGACTTTTAATATGTCATTTTAGGGACCTTATAGAAATACACTGTGGTGAAAAAATTTCTGTTGCAATTTGTTTGAGGTCAAACCTTACATTGCCTGGACTACTTAACAAGGTGTGAAACCGAGTCCTCCGTCAATTAGGGCTTGACTACCCATACATGTGGGACACGCCTATCCCAGCATGCGAACACAGGATCTGGCAGAGTGAGCGGGTGAGATCGACAGAGATCCAACGGCCATAAAGGCTGCAACAGGAAAGGGTTGTGGAACGCTA